ATCCAAAAAAAACGTTTATATCCGAACTCATTTAAACTTAATTGCGTCTAAAACTTAGATGATCACACACCATTGGAATAGTCATAAACCTACTATAAAAATACTTCCAAAATTAATTCTATCACAATTTAAAGTCAAATTTAATATTACATTTATCTATTTCACAATCTTAATTACACATTAGATACATTTGATTTAAAATACACAATATCAAATTTAATTACGGATGTGTGTGCATATATATGGCCATCCTCATGCATTATATTCATTATAAAAATGCATTTGATTTACATTGTAAGTGCATCTTCAAATACAACATCATACGAACACTAAATTTACATAAACAAATCTCAAGAACACACTCATTGGCCTTTAGTATTATACTTTAATAGATATCATTTGTTTCAAATTTTTAATATCACTCTCTTATGCACTATATGTTAATAATTTAGCACATATTAGTTGCTACACCATTTCAATCTTAGGCACCTCAATTCACTATCTTTTATGCAACTTAATTCAAACATATTTGCAGTACTCCGGTCTCACTAGTTTGCATATTATCAATCCTCACAAATTTATGATATCATACCACCGGGCCTTATTGGGGGTTGTGCTGGTAGCGAATTGCCCCATGAACGGCTGCGACAGCTGCTCATAGTGTCAATGGATCCGGGCCTTAGCTGCCCGAACCATTCCTGTGTTGGGCCCCTCAAAGTGCTGAAGAAGAGCCGGAAGATAGCCTCGTCTGATGCCCCCAGCATGGAGAGGCTCCCTTGGAAGCTGATTAGATGGGCGTTGGGATCCCCGGTCCCGTTGTACACCAAACCGCCCGGCGGTCTGCAGTCCCGAGGGATCTCTGCGTTCATGACCCACGGGGTGAATGGTGATGTGAGGGAGAAACGTGGCATAGCCATTGTGGACTCCGCCCATCTATCCATCTCGGCCATTCGCCGTTCCATTGCCTCTAGCCGGGCCTCCTGTGCGGCCCTTCCAGGGGACACAGGAGGGGCGGCCTCGAGCGCGATGTTTCCTTCTGGCGCAACCGCTTCGGGTTGCCTCCGGGTGATATGGGCACCTCGCCTTTGGAAGCGGCGCCCAATGTTCCTGGCAACGGGGGTGATTTCCGTTCCCTGATTCCCTTGGGGGCCGTCCGGCGTGCGGCCCCGATGATCGTCTTGCCATCCATAGCGGAATTGGCACTGGTATGCCCCCTGGTGCTTTGAGAGGGTGGAGTTCGGCCCAACCTTGTATGGACGGACGCATGGTGTCCAGCGGATTCCGCCGTTTCGTCCAGAGACTGCATGTGATGGATGGGCGATATGGGTGTCCAGATTGTATTGGCTGAATACACCTCATCAGCCGCCTCATGTACGTCCGCCATCCGGCGCATGGTTTCCGCCAGTTCCCTCATGAGCCGAGGGTCGCGTCAGGTCTCATGGGGGATGAGATTGGTGAGGCCACCATCACCACCAATGGTCCCCAGCATCTCAGAACGCTCCATGGTTTGCCCGCGGCTCCTTCGTCCGCGAGCCAGTTGCTCCGAGAGGTCGCATTGTTGGTAGTTCCTTGCAATCGTGCTTGTTGTGGTTAGATTTAGTAGCTGTTTTGGGAGAGTTTTGGAAACTTTTAGTTCAGTTTCCCACAGACGGCGTCAGTGTTGAGGTTTATTCCTTCAACCCTCGGGTCCAACACGTAAGCCCAAGAGTTTCGAGTGGAGTGTGTATGTGAGTGAACCAGCCCAACAAAAAATAAGATGGATCAAGAAACAATATGTAGCAAGTAAGAGATTAGGTATTATTAATTAGTTAATAACTCCCCAATACAATACGCTTGTTAAGGCTCGTCGGCCGTTCGTTTTACAAGGCAGTAGAAGAGCTGCGAGTAAGAGAAGTATAAGCTAGAGTGCTAAGAATAGTAAGTTGCCAACCCCTTACAATGAAATAAATCCTGCTATTTATACCACCAATGGACAGTTGGCATGCTGGCGTGGAGGGTTGTGTGTGGCTGGCGTCTCAACCACCAAATCCCCAGCATTTAATGCATTTCCCGCCAGAATCTTGGTTTCCCGCCTAACCCGTGGGGACGTACGTCCAGCTGGAAAAGGGGGCCTGCTCCTGATGATACTGCAAAGGGTAATGGGCCGTTCGTATCTTGGCCCTTGGAGGATTTGTCACATGGATTGGGCTGGCTCCAGGCGTTAGTAGCTTCCGGAGGCGACGTTCGTCACCGTTGTGACTGTCTGTGGGTTTGACCCACTTGTCTTCGTGTGGACGCTCATCAAGGTGGGCTGCCTCGTTGGGCTAGACGTTCGTCTGGACTGGGGGTGAATGAGCCGGCCCTTATCTTGGGCCATTAACCCAACACAAGTCCCCCACTTCTGATGTTCTCAGCATGCGAGGGACATAAAGAAGTATATTGTTCCTTAAGGGTGGGACGCTCATATCACGGAGCTTATGCTTGCCGCATTCCCGGAGGTGGACGTTCCTCACCATCACTACTAGAAAAATGCCTTACAGTGACACTTTTATAGTGACACTTTTTGATAAAATATCATTAATGACACACAAGTGTCATTGATTTCTAACACAAAAATTTTACAGCCGAATAGCGACACTTATTTTTTTTCAATACGGAAGGGTTCACTTACTGGGCCGGCTGGGTGTGAGCAAAGTTTTTTTTAAACGCCCAACACATAGGTTTTTTTCACATACCCACTTTACTTTACTCCCGATCGATTTTCTTCAATTCGAGAGCTCTACTCGCACTAACCCTATACTTCAAGATCCGTCTTCTCCATCTTCTGCCAGACCAGAGATGGATCGATTTACTCCATCGTTGCCTTACTCCATCACTGTACTCCATCGCGACGGTCGACGATATCATCGAGGACGTAGATCCAGCAGAAACGGTCGATGATTTCGAGCCTGGAAGAGTCCCAGACGGTGTGTGGCCGTCGTTCTTGGTCCGGCCGAGTGACATCGCGCGTCTCCTCGCTGGTTCTTCTTCATCAGCGATTATCATCTATTTCAGGTATGTAATTTTTCCTTCATCTTTCCTCCCTAGCTTAGGTCATCCTTCAACAATATCATCTAATTTGGTTTAGTTTTAATCGGAAATTGATAAACTTCACCAATAATGTGGTTGTTCTTGTTCATAGCAACCTGCCCCCCGACCTAGTTAATTGACAGACTAAGTCGATGATTTTTCTCCTTTTGGGAATACCAGCCGATGAACGGAGATGGTAGCCAGCAGGTACTCGATCTTTAACTTGACACCTCTTATCTTTACTTCCTTTAATTTTAATTTGTAGTTTTTTAACCTAAAAATGAGGCCATTTTGAAACCAAAACTGATTTTTCAGAATATATACCATAACCTTAAATCTATTTACAGAATGAGGAGTAGATGTTGTTGGTTACCAACTAGCAGCAGGAAAAAGAAGGTTAGGTGCTTTGTAAGTCTTGTGAGGAGGAAGGTGCAGCTGATTTTTGCCAGTGAGAAGGATGACCTCTGTACTGGTGCAGCCTCACATGGGCAGGTTGATTAATTTCATGTATTGGCAGAATTCTCAAAGCTGCTTTTAATTAACTTGAAGTAGAAATTAGCATGTATGAATTTCGATTTTTACTAGTGATTGTATTATTTGTGAATTGTTGATGACTAGAGCAGTATACTCTAGTCACAATGACTAAAGTATTTTGTATTTTTAATTAACCTGGGGTATTCTCAGCTTTGTAAAGTTTAACGATGCATCTGAAGATGGACGAACCATGTTGCTGCAACAAACAATTCAACAATCAATGAACTCGCTGCCGCATCAAACCATTGGTTTGTTCTTTATCGGTTTTTCATGCTTCTAGAAAACTTAAAGCCATAAAGGGTTGTGTGTACGTGATTATAAAGAGTTTCCATGAATTAGTCAAAGCTTCAATGGTGTCTTGGAGATTTTGTAAGTTGTTTATAAAACTAAATTGTCACCTTCTACTTAAAGTAATAGATTCTAGAACAGGTCTTTTGATGTTTGATGTTTCTGCTTCAATTTGTGTTTCCTAGATACATAAAGTTTGATTAGAAGTTAAACCAAGGAATATATACAATAACAATTGGCAAAACTATGCAAACATTATAGCATTAACTTGATGTTACGTAGACATAATCATGATTCTTAATTTATCTTTGAGAAAAAACAAGAGATGGAGTGTGACTTATATTTCATTTACAATAATAGTTGACTTTGCTACTTGAAAAGGCATAGGTTGAAAAAAACTAAGAGTTGGGCTGTGATTTTTATTCAATTTTTTATCAGTTTGTCTACCTTCCTATCTTATATACATTGTTTTAGCACACTTTCTTTTATTTTAACTTGTGTTTTGTTGTTTTGACTTATGCTTGAAGGGGGCTGCACACTTCAACTTGAATTTAGGTGATCTCTTCTTGGAAACCTCTATTTACCAGATTATCTTCTTTATTTTTTTGAGAACCTCCTTCAATTTGACTGATAAAGAGCACATTTTTCTCATTTTAATGAAAACCATATCTGGCACGCTGGCACGCTGGCATGCTGGCACTGATGCCTAAGTTTGCTTCATTTACCGAATCTTTGTGGTGCATGACATTTGTATTCGTTGACCATTGGTTCAAATATACTCAACCATGTGAAAACATATACTATTAGTATATTCTTGTGATTGTAATGCCATGCAGCCCTGACAAGACCCTATCAATGTTTTAAAACTGGGCTGGACCAGCTGGTTGGATTGGTTACTAGAGGTACCTGGTCAAGTAAGATGTTAGATTGTTGTGTTATTAAACCACTTGAAAGTGGAACCACATGACTGGTAAATAACTGAACCACTGAATTATGCTTCTGTTGACGCGGTTCAATACTTTTTCCTTATCAAGGAAAGCAATTACAACCTCTATTTACCATTATGTATGTTTACATAATCTGATTTGTAATTCATAAATTCTAGTGTACGTACACTTTGCAAGTGATGGAGAGAGGTTAGGTGAAGCCTGAAGTAATGTGGGGGGAAGTGGCCGGAACGTCTTCATACCCAAACCACTTAGACTAATCGCCGGATCACTCCAGAAAAGTCTCTCATATTCGCAGGGAGGATAAGTATGAATTGGCGGCCTGTGAACTTTCTATCTCAATGTTAGCAATTAATTGTTTGCAAGGCGCAAACCGATAGAAAACGAAGGATCTTGTTCTTCATTCAGAATTGAATTCTTCCTTTCCAGCATTCCAAGCTTTCATGTCAAATACAAACATGGCTTCTTCACATTCAACTGAAAACTGCCTTGGATGGGCTGCCAGAGACCCATCCGGAGTTCTTTCTCCTTACAATTTCAGCCGCAGGGTTACCGGGAGTGATGATTTTTTGCTAGATATTTCCTATTGTGGCGTTTGCTATGCTGATGTGGCGTGGACAAGGAGTCTTCATGGGCCTTCCAAGTATCCTTTAGTGCCTGGACATGAGATTGTAGGAATTGTGAAAGAGGTTGGCTCCAACATCCAGTGCTTTAAAGTGGGTGATGCTGTGGGAGTTGGAACTTATGTCAACTCATGCAGGGAGTGTGAGTACTGTGAGGAAGGGTTAGAAAATGAGTGTTCAAAGGGATCTGTCTATACTTTTGATGGAATAGATTTTGATGGCACAGTTACTAAGGGAGGATACTCAAGTTACATTGTTGTTCATGAAAGGTACTGCTACAAAATTCCCGAAAGCTACCCTCTTGTAATGGAAGTTCAATAAAAGGCCATCATAGTCTTGATTGATGAAAAAAAAAACACTTTGCAGGTGATGACTTAATTTTGTGCAGCATAAAATGTGATGTCTAAGTATATTAGAAGAAATGTGAAGGTCCTATGAAGAGTGGTGTAAAAGTTACACTTGTTTGCGTTTTGTTCTTTATTACTTATGAATTATGTAGTATGTACAAGTTCAACAACAATGTAGCTTGGAGTTTGACATGAATATTATGCTTTAAATGTTCAATGTATGATTTGAGATTTATTGACTTTATTATAGTTTATGGGATCAGTTAATATTGAATTGGAATTTTTTAAATATAATTGAAAAGGATTTTCTAAATTACCCATGAAATGGAATGCTGAAATGGTGCAAAACAAAGTGATACCAAAGTGTCACTAAAGTATGGTGTTGCTTGAATGGAAAACATAATTATGTGATACCACGGTGTCACTAGAATATATGATGTAAAAGTGTCATCGAATAGTTATGTCACCTATGTATCACTAACTAGTGATACCATAGTGTCACAATTTTGTGACACTTGTAGTGACACTTAAAAAGTGTCACTATTTCCCACTTTCATTGACACTTTTTTAGTGTCACAGAAACTTTCAGTGACACTAATTTGGTGTCACTGTAGGGCATTTTTCTAGTAGTGCATGGTGCACTTCTCGAGGCAAGGCCATCATTACACTCCTTATTCCACGCGCGGCGCGTGCTCCTGGGATACGCTCCTTACCACGTGTCACTTAGCTACTGGTTTTATGAAGTGGTGCTTCCCTTATAAATACCAGAATTCCCCATATGTTTAGGGTTTCCGATTCTCGCTTTGTTGCTCTGGACTCTCCGCCGTTCTGCAATCTGTTCATCTACAAGTCCTTTCTTATTGTTGGTTCTTATTTTCCCTTCTTCGTGATCCTTTTCTGATTCTTCCAATGACCTCCATGGAAATCTCATCGAGTTCCGGCTCGGGTTCCTCTTCCGGCTCTTTTTCTGGCTCTGAGTCCGGTTCCCGCTCTTCTGAGGGCGCCAGTTCCTCTGGCCGCTCCGGCTCCCTGTCCGTTGCAGGGACGATTATTCAAGATAATGCTCCTGACACCTCTACCTCTGCTAGTACCTCCTCGGCAGACGCGACCCAGGGTGATGCGACCCCTGGGGGTGATGCGCTAGTTGCGGACCAGTTTTCTTTCAAAAATCATTTGACGACCTTCCTGATTGAATTTTTTGCTCAAATTTGGTATGGATGAACTAGACTTGATGAGGAACATACACAAAAAATTTCAGCCAAAAATACCACCGGTTCTCAGGGATTCTCACGGGTTTTCATTTTAAGAGGGTTCTCACTAGAACCCTCCCCTATCTCTGTGTGTGTGTGTGTGTGTGTGTGTGTATACAGAGAATATTCTGTTCAGCCCCACCTGTCCGAACCGCCGTCCGAACTACGCTGTTGGGGGCGGTTCCCGGTGGAATTTTTTTATGAATGTTTTTTGAGCATGTTTCTCATCACGTCTAGTTTGTCTACACCAAATGTGAGCTCCAAATTCGATCCCGAAGGCATTCAAATCATTTTTTGAAGTTGATTACGTTTTTATATGTATATTTTGGCGCAGTCAACTTCAAAAAATGATTTGAATGCCTTCCCGATCGAATTTTTATCTGAAATGTTTAGTGGATAAACTAGACTTGATGAGGAACATGCTCAAAAAATGTCATCGAAATATTCCACCGGGAACTGCCCAAAACGGCGGAGTTCAGACGGCGCCTCCCGTCCCTCCGGCTAGACCTGAGCATTACTCTCTCTCTCTCTCTCTCTCTCTCTCTCTCTCTCTCTCTCTCTCATAGAAGCATGTCTATCAAAACCACCACTCATCATTTTAGCCACTTTGTAGGCATTCTTAAGTTTGATGCTACTAGCTTCCCTTACATTATCTAGTTGGTTTTTTATGGGGTAGGCCTTGGTCTAGTCCTCCTACTTTGTACCCTTGTTTTTGTCTAAATAAATTTGACGGGGTGTTCCTGGCCCCCGTCCCAAAACCTTAGGGTTTTGGAAGCTCACCGGGTTAAAAAAAAAAGGAGAGAAATGAGAATGAATCTAGACCGTTAGATTGAATTTTGTGAAATTGAATGTGCATTAACTGAAACTGAAATGTGCTTTATATGAAATCAAAATGTGCAGTTAAAAAATATGGAAAAGTGGCATTATATGAAGGTAAATTGTGCATTACGTGAAAGTGAAATGTGCATTACGTGAAACTGAAATGTGCATAATATTTTTGTGGCCTTTATTCTTCATGTTTCAATTTTACGTAATGCACATTTGAATAACTTTTATTCTGCACATTTCAATTTCACTTAATGCACATTTAAGTTTCATCAAATGCACAATTCAGTTTCATCAAATATATATATATATATATATATATATATATATATATATATATATATATATATACAAGAATGATCCTGTCCGAACGTTCGGACAGGACCCTCCGTCCGAACATCCTCGTTTGGGGTTCTTCCCGGTGGAATTTATTGATGAAATTTTTTGAGAATGTTCCTCATCAAGTCTAGATTGTCCATACCAAATTTCAGCTCAAACTTCGATTGGGAAGACATTCAAATAATTTTTTGAAGTTGACTGCATTTTTATATGTACATTTTGACGCAGTCAACTTCAAAAACTGATTTGAATGCCTTCCAGATCGAATTTTGAGCTGAAATTTGGTATGGACAAACTAGACTTGATGCTGAACATGCTCAAAAAATTTCATCAAAAAATGCCACCGGGAAGTGGCCCAAACGTCCATGTTGGGACGGTGCTCGGACGGAGAATGTTCGGACCTGAACATTCCTCTCTATATATATATACATATATATATAATAGAGATCAAATACAAACCATGCTTAATTTACAAAGTACAAACTTATCTTGACCATCTGATGAGTTGATCTAAAGGATATAAGGGCAAGGTGGCATTTTTGTAATAAAACCTAACTTTTCTAGGGTGCAACTCGTTGAACGTTAATGTGCAACTGCTATTTTATGACTATATAATATGCAACACAGTTTGAATCCTACAAACATTTGCACAACAAGCACAGTTTGTACTTGATCTTTCCCTTAATATATATATATATATATATATATATATATATATATATATATATATATATATATATATATATAGGGGAGGGTTCTAGTGAGAACCCCTCTTAAAATGAGAACCCGTGAGAACCCCTAACAACCGGTGGTATTTTTGGCTGAAAATTTTTGTGTATGTTCCTCATCAAGTCTAGTTCATCCATACCAAATTTGAGCAAAAACTTCAATCGGGAAGGTCGTCAAATGATTTTTGAAAGAAAACTAGTCCGGAATATACATATAAAACGCAGTTTTCTTTCAAAAACTTGACAAAAGAGTGAAAAAACTTTGTATTGAAATCTCCATCCTTAATCCACCTGATATGGGCTTTCTGTTGCCAGAATTTCCTCTCCAATTTATATTAATTAAAATAAGTAAACTCCTTTTGTAGGCCCAAGCTTACCTAATTGATTCCCCAGGATCTTCTTCATTAGCTTTTTCAGCCTATAAGACCTCATTCTCATAATATTTTATATCTTCAAATATATAGTCAAAGATCTCCTTGTTCCAAATTTTCAAATCCTTTTTGAGACATTGTAGCTTGTAGACCAAGCCCCTCATACCACCACCAGAAGAATAGGTTGGCCATTTGTTAGAAATCAAAGCCATAAAATTAGAATGAGCCAACCACATATTTTGGAACCTAAAGGATTTAGGGCCTGAAGAATTCTTATTCTCCAATTGTACAAGCATTGGATTATGATCAGAAGGTGTCTTGTTAAGAAGGGAAATCTGAATAGAATTAAATTTATCAATAAATTCAGTGTTAAGTAGACATCTGTCCAACCTTCTCCACACCCAGCCATTAGCCCTAACTATCTAGGGCCCTTATGAGGCAAATCAATTAAGTTACATGCTGCAATACAATTTGCAAAATCGTTAACTCCTGTAAGAGTAGGCATATCAGTTCCACTATGCTCATTGTATCTTGAAATAGCATTAAAATCTCCGCCAACAAGCCAGGGTTCTGTCATATTTGATGATATAGCAGTTAAACCGTTCCAGAGATCTTTTCTTGTTATATAATTGTGTCTTCCATACACAACAGTAATCCATCCTTGGAAGAAATTTGAAGTAATTTTAAAATGCAGAAACTGGGGGTTCCAATAAGTTTGGGAAATGGTTAAAACAGAATTGTTCCACAACACCCAAATTTTATTAGTGGAAGAATACATGACATTAGAGAAGCCCAAAGTAGCTTTGAAAAAATCAGCCCTAGAATCATTAACAATAGGTTCAATAACTGTAACACCTTAGATTTAATATAAACGGATTAATATTACTACTCATACCAACAAGATGCATCTCCTTTTAAGGGAGCTCATTAGCCAAGAACTCCAAAGTTAAGCGTGCTTGCTCGGGAGTAGTCTTGGGATGGGTGACCCCCTGGGAAGTTTCTCAGGGCGCGCATGAGTGAGGACAAAGTGCGCGGTAAAGGCTCGTGGTGGTTTGTGAGGACAGTACTAGAGGTCCAGAATAACTACCGAGTCCTGCGGGGCCGGGGTGTTACAATAACCACCACCAAGCTAAGCCTCCATTGTAAAACTAGGGAATGTAGTCTAGAACTGGAGGATTCTAGACCCCTAATATTCCAAATGAGCCAATTCATTTTGAAGAGGGATTAGCACTCTCATTAGCAACACTTCTAGTTACCATCTTTAATGCAACCTCTGCTGTCCTCTTCTTTTCTTCTTTTTTCAGCTTTGCTGAGCACTCTTGTAAAGCCGTCATCTCCTTCTGACTGTATTTTTTCTGCAGGTTGTGATTTGCTTTTCTGATCTCCAACATCAACCAGTTGAGATACTTGTTCTGTAGATGCTTTTACCCTATTGATTGTCTCA